TGATGGGGAGACAGAAGCAAGCGAAAACCCTGGTTTTATGGGAAACTTTCAGCAGCCTGTACAAACGGCATTTCACGGAGAAAAAGGAAGCCCCACCCTTTGGAGACACCTGACTTCTCATGGTCTTCTGGTCCGTGCATGCCCCACGAAAAAAATACATATATTCCAACCTCAGTGAAGAAATTCCTGCGGAAAAACCCCAAAGGTAATGAAGGTTTCCAAGATGCTCAAGGTTTCAATTCTCCCCTTGGTGATGCTATTCTATGAACCGCTTTTATAAACTGATCATGTGCAATTACATAAATCATTATTACAAATCTGTCTTGGCAAAATACTGTAGGTCTGGAGTACATCTGTGTGCAGCAACCTCCACTCTACCGGTTTTTCCACTTCTGTTGCTGCACAAATATGTCTCCCTCTGCAAAGGAAGCTGTTCATGTCTCCTCACTGCCCCATGGGCTCAGGCAAACGCCAATGAACAAATACTTAGAGGCGAGATGGGGATTTTACTAGCACACCTGTCCTGTGTCCTGAGATGCTAGCTGGACACAACCAGGCTCTCTGCTTTGGCAACGGTGCCCAACCAGTACCCGAGGGCATCCCAGGACACGTGGAGGCCTTCGGGCTTCGAAGGTCAGGTACCCTGGAGCGGCTCTTGCGGTGCGTGGGCTGGATCTGGATTTATCTGGATCTGCATTGATGGACTGAGGTCATGTGTCCTCATAACACTCAGAATTAACCCCAGGCGACTTGAGGTTTCACAGATGCAGTGGTGTCACAATAGGGCGGACGTTCTCACCAAACCAGGACGTTTCTCCAAGCCCCGCCTGGCTTGAGCCTACTGAACTGCATATTCTGACTAGGACAGGGGGAGCTCCAGGACAGCAAGGCCCCCGCGAGATGCTGCACGGCCACGCTGATGCGGGGTGGGGGTGGGGTGGCTCAGGGGCTGACACTCCTTTCTGACACACAAGTGTCTGACGGCAGGTGCTCCCCGAGAAGGAATGTGGTCAGGAACCAGTCGGATTCTTTCTGAAATCAGTGGGCTGCCCCGGCAGGGTTGGGGGGATGTGGCTGTGTCCGAGTCCGACCTTCAATGCCACTGTCAGATGCTCAGACCCCAAAGGTAACTGCCGACCACCCCCGCTCACTTCAGCCTCTTGATCCTGTCCTATGGACCCCAGCGCACACACTTGAACCTACAGCCTGAGGACCGTGACTTGCTCGGGAGTTCATGCGTCTGCAGTTTTGTTAGAAGGCAGGTGTCTAAATATGGCTGCAAAGCAAGGTTCTCTTCGACAAACTATAATCCTGAGGTTCCTTTGGAAAGTCTTGAAAAGTAGGGGCACAATAAAATCACTTCCAAGGGTGGACATGGGTAGCCCAGAACCTCCTGCGATGTCCTCAGTTTACCCAGCCCATTGAAGTCATCTGCTGACCAAGGGATACAACTTCCTACCCCACCTCCCTTCCCCCATTCTAGAACCTTCCAGGTCCCAACCATCCCCTTTCCTATTCCTCGAATGAACTAGTCTTCACCTGGCTGGGGCCAAGTGTAAGGGGCCACATTCTCCCTTGGCCCATGTTGACATCAGACACATGACTCCAGCTCGAACACTCCGGAAGCATGGGACTCGTGGCTGTGTGGATCACCTCACATCTCCAGCCGACGCTGCCACTTCATGGGTAAACCTGAGGGTTCCTGGGATGAATAAAAGCCACTTCTTCGCTTTCTTTGACAGCATACTTTATGTGTCTTCATTCCTTCCCCACTCTCAAAATGTATTTTTCCTGTGGCCATTTAATTGGTAAAGTGCCATTAAGTCCAAATCTGAAATTCTTAAAACCCACCAGAAGTGTCCGCGACAGCTGCTGCCGTTGTGGAGTTTCCTTGGTACTAAAAATCTAGCATCTCCTGAATGTTACATTTTACGATGTTTAGTAGTTTCTCCTAAAATAGAAAAAACATCGGCGGCAAGCGTTTTGTCTGAACGGTTCCGTGATCCGTTCTGATCAGTCTGAGCAGGACAAAGGCACTCCGGGAGCCCACCCAAGGATCTGGTTCCTGCTCATAAGGAAAAGTGGGGGAAACTCGATCATTGTTGGATGAGGCTTTTGGGGAAAGTGATTTATTCCCCGTGACTCACGTGGCCCTAGGCCAGAATTTAGAACTGAACCACGCTTGGCAATCCACCATGCAGGGGCCTGGTAAGAGGAATATGGCAAATTTTCATTTGCACAGGAACCTATTAAATTATGACAATCTTCTCTCACTTCTTCAATAAGATAATGCGATCCCTAAATCAGGCCTGCTTGTAGTCCCCAAAGCTCTGAGGAGCTGTTAATGCTGCCTTGCTGGGGATTAGTTTCCTAATTTTGAATTATAACTGACCCCAAGGGATCCCCAACCCAAAACCTTTGCATCTCCGAATGAGTCAGGTAAAATCCTTCCAAACGTTCGGGAGTGGACCGCGTTCCGGCAAACATTCCCAGAAGTGACATGCCAAGAATGTTTAATGCCAGGTACTTATTTTTTTGGTTCAGAAGAAATACAGCAGATTCTACGGGAGACGCCAGACAATCTGGCACCAATCACGGTGGTATGTTTTAAAACCCCCGGGGTTGGGGGGCGGGGGGAGAAAAATCAGACGCAGTCATCATCTTGTTTCTTGCTAGTATCCATAGTTCCAGCTGCTAAAGACAGGATTTCGTTTGGGGCTTCCAAATAACTTATCAAGGATACAAAGTATCACCCTAGTAAAAAAACATTTTTCAGGAAGAAGCATCTACTTCTTACGGGAGAGTTGACAGCATCTGACAACAGCAAAATGCTGAGAGCACCTTTCAGGAAAGGACCATCGTCCAGCCTTTTCCAAGGCTGCAAGGTGAAAATGACCCCCTCAGACGGTTGTTACTTCCTTTCCCGCTCAAAGCAAGCCTCCTTGAAGGTTCTCCAAGCTCAGTATCAATTTACGGAACTCGAGGACGTGGGTGTCACCAACCGGGGTTTTGACTCCAAGTCCAATTTTCGACAGCAGGGCATGCCAGGAAAATGTCTCCCGTTCAGTTGTCTGATTCCTGTTGCTAAGTTATGCTTTTGTAATTTAAGCTTTTCCATTAGAATGTCACATCCAGTGACATCTGAGATGAAAAGGTGGAGAACTGGGAGAGGAAATGCAGAGCATTAGAGCATACTTCTTTCAAAGACTGGAGCTTGAAATTGGCCGTGCCCTTAACCTGTACTCTGGGAACAGCACCTGCTGATCTATGCCAACAGAAAGGTTCCCAGCTCAGAAACCGAACGCGGGAAACTGGAGAAGATGCCTGTATGAGGGAATAAGTAGCCAAAGGAACGGTGTGATCTCTGGAACTCCCTCCTTTTCTTTCACGGGTCTGGATTTTCAGAGCACGGGGAAGGTCTGCTCCGTGAAGGATGGCCTTCCCTTCTGTGCAAAGTGGACCATAAAACGGGAACCAATGAAAAAGCCCATGGGACGAGAGAATTAGACTTCCAGTGATGTCTAACACTGACCTGTACTTTGGAGTTACTACCATTCACCTAGCCGAGACCAGACACGATAAGGAGTACCTGGTAAGGGCACCCCCGCCTGTGACCCCACGTCCAGAGGGACTCATACATGCCACACTCAGACGGTTTCTTGAAGAGGGCCCGGAAGGCTCAGCTTCTAAGATACAATTCAAACCTGCTGCTGCTGGAGCGTCCACCAGGACACCATGGCACGTGTGAGTGACCCCACAGTTCTCCAGTCACATATTCCCCAGTATGGACGTGCCCCGGTCCAGTGAGCAGAGCTGATGGCTGAAATACCAACGTGCAGGCTGTCTTGGACATAAATGATGATCCAGCCAGAGGAGACACTCCAGTTAGCCCTTTCAGTAGGGTTCTGTCATAGATCCAGCCCATCCCAACAGAGATGCAAAGCGAACATTGAACTTGGCATACAAACGAGAGACGGGATATTGCCTTTGAACCCGTCTTCTAATTATATCTGCATCGAGTTAATAAGGCTTCTGCTTCTTTTTGGGCGATGAAATTAATTGATCAAATAAACGGTAGTAAGAGGGAGGTACCTCACAGAAGGAGAGTACCGCATACCCACCTCATCACCAAAGACTGAACACGCCACAGGGAGGAGGCGTGTGGGTCAACGGCTCCACAGATGTGCTCAGGCGTCTGTGCTGGAGTCTACGGCTTTCTGCAAAGGCAAACACAGGACCTGAAAGCATGGGAGAAGTTCCTTCAAGTTCTCTGCTCATTTGGTGTCTTCCTTCCCCCGAGAGTTGGTCAGGATGGGCACTGAGCCATTTCCTGCTTTCCCTTCAGCCAGAGATTTGGAAACACAAACAACTAGGCTAGTGATGTGGGATCTGCTTTTCTCACCAGAACACCTTCTGTTAATTTTAAGGAAGAGTAAGCGTGTGAAATAACGGCCCACCTGGCCACAGGACAGCACCTGTTACCCTCGCCTGTTGGAAGGAGGATTCTTTGCAGCAAGGGCAACAGCTGGAACCAGGCTGCCCATAGCCACAGCTGGGCACAGAGCCCCTACAGAGGTAGCTTTTTATCTTTATACCAACAGGACTACAGAAGCACTGAGTACAAGAGCGTAGGTTTCCTTCCCACTCTACCACGATGGACAAAGGCTTTCCTCTTCAGAAGAGGCTGGTGAAGACCGCTGAGTGATGTTCCCCTCCGAGAAGGTTCTGGCTCTCACTCAGAGCACAGAGAGGCTCAGACAAGGGCTCTGTTTCCGGGTCAGAAGCAGGCAGGATGGTGAGATCGTCAGGCCCCGGGCTGGTTCTCTTGCCACCATGTTGCAAACCTCTTGTACTCTTGGACCCAGGTGCAAAATACCCTTAAATGTGATTAGTATGAAAAGCTTCCCATCAGCTAAGAGCAGTTACGAACCATGAGAACTCACAGCTCCGGAGACGGAGGAAGAGGAGAACTAGCCAAAAGCTTGCCCCCTCTTTTTTTTTTTTTTGGTGGCACACCTAGACAGTCTGGCATAACTAGTCCCATAAAGCCTGAAGCCCAATTCACTCTGTTTTGGTTTAGAATGAGGTGGTTTTTATTATAATTTTTCTTGGAAGTGAGGGAGAAGGAAGCTTTAAGATCAAGAATCAGAATACAGTGACTCTGGAAGGCATCTGGGAGCAGAACAGATTTGAGACTAGTGGACCAGGAAGACACCTGCCTCATGACCTTGCCTGCTCCACGGGTAACGGAATTCTCTTCGCCGAGAGTTCAAGGTCGCTCGAGCTCGGTTTCCGCTCGCTCTTCATTTCCAGCGATGCCGGACGAGCGAGGACTCGTCATTGACCACCTCGGGGTCGCGGGGCAGGTGCCGACACCGAAAGGGAAGGAGCAGCAGGACGATGAGGGTGAGAAGGATGATTCCACACACGCTCATGAGCGCGTAGGACACGATCCACAGGATGGGCTCATTCAGAGGCAGGGCAGGGACGCAGTTGCTGGCTATGTCGTCTGTCGAGAAAGGCCCAGAGATTTCAGACAGCGGAGCACCTGCAATTTCTGAGGAGACAGAAAGGGGAGAACCACAGCTATGAGGTGAGCAGTCCGTCTGCACCCTTTGGCAAAAGAGAGAAGCGCTTGCGTTAGGAAACGTGCGGCACGAATCCCGGGATATCCCCGCCATCGTCAACCTGACTTCACGCGCTCTGGTGACGATCGTCCTTTCAGTCTGACCACACTCTGAAGGGGCTCCGGGACTACCCGACCAGACCAGGAGACTCTTCCCCAGCCCCTCGCTGGTTCCGCGTCCCACTGACAGTGCAGGGAGAACGCGGAATCAGGAGGGGTACGTTCCCTGGCCACCCGGGATCAAAGGGACACACAGCTACAATTCGCAGGACGACCGGTGCTCGCGGGCCCTGGGGTAACAGCGTTCTCAGGGAAGGATGTGAGAGGATTTCTTAAGGCAGGTTTGGGGACTACCAGTCTTCATTTCTCTCCATCAGACGTATCTGCTCTTCTCAGAAGTACAGACTACCTGGCATTTTATGTTTCACTTGCAAAAAGAAGAAAGCATTGTTCCCTGCCTCACCCATGTTTAATCACCATAATGAACATTTAGGCATGAAAAAGCAATGTTGCTACACATTTCCTATCTCTGTCACTAAAGCCTCAAGACCCTAACGCCTGCCAAATAACACCCTTTTTCTTTCTTTCTTTCTTTCTTTTTTTTTTTTTTACTGAAGAAAGAAAGAGTCAAAATAATAATGGAACAATGGTCTTAACAGAATGGGTTAAAATGAGGGGAAGACACAGATTGGGTGAGAACATTTTCTTGCTAACGTGGATTCTGTTTGCATGGATTCGGGGCTCTTCTGCATGAGCTGGACGAGTCCAGCAATGCACCAGGGCCTGCCTGCACCCAGGGACGGGGGAGGATGGTCTTGTGTCCATCGGGAGCCCAGATGCCCAGGGCCAAAGCCGCCACTTAAAACACACACTCATTGGCCATTTATATAATGTCTATTACAATTTCTTTTTCTCCTGATTTGCAGGGATCCTCTACATGGTAGAACCTGAAGTGGCAAACGCCCTTCCACAGTAGGTCATCTGTCTTGTTAGAGACTCACCTGCTCTGTGGATAGAGAAGCTTTAAGGCATACACTAATGCGGGGGAGGCATGCTCGGTGCAAAGACCCTGAAACCGCCAAGCAACAGGCCAAGAGCTTCACTGGAAACCATTTCTTCTTCCAGACCAGATGGCGGAAGAGCGGCCAGATTCACCCCCGACCCGAGACAACTAAAATACTGGGCAAAACACACGAAGAAACAAAGTCTCTGAAGATCCTGCCAACGGAGCAAGGAGCACAAAGTCCTGCGAGAGGGGAGGACAGATGAAGGGAGCCCACAGTTGCCTTGAGAACATTTCTGGGTTTGGCACAGGGAGGGGGACATGGGCAGAGGTGGGCAGCCTCCTGGGCCGGAGGGACAGGCAAGGCTGGGAGGGCAGGGTTGGGGGGCAGGGCTAAGGCTGGGACAGGGCTGGGGCTAGGACTAGGGCTGGGGGGGCAAGGCTGGAGACAGGGCTAGGGGTCAGGGCTATGGAGGACAAGGCTGGGAGATAGGGTAGGGCTGGAGGGTAGGGCTAGGCCTGGGGGGCAAGGCTGGGAGATTGGGCTGAGAGGCAGGGCTAGGGAGCAGGGCTGGGGGCTCCTGGAGTTCGAAGGCACAATATAGGGCAGAAATGCCATGCATCCCAAGGGCAAGGCTGAGTGCTGACCACACACGAACAGAGGCTGGTCAAAGGACCACTGGGAAAGATTAGAAAGAAAGAGCTCAGAGCTCCCGGGCTGAGAACAGTACCCACGGCCAACTGCTTCCTGTTTACTCTGCTTCCCCAAGTGGAAAAAAGAAAAAACAAAAACAAAAACACCCAAGCAGGAATTCACAGGGCATCCGTTAGAGTCTTAAGGGTCTCTCCTCCACCCGGTGGGGCCGGGGACGAGGACCCGCACATGGCACACTGCTCTGATCTCATCTAAAGCTTCTGAGCAAGGCAGGCAAGATTCGTAACCTAAAGGCACCCCAGGACACAGCTCAGGAGCACCAGCAAGAAGACGAAAGGGTTCAGCACCTTTTGGCTACCTGGACCCAATTTCAACGTGCTGGGGGTTAAATTACCAACAGGGGATCCTCCCACACCAGCAGGGTGTGCAGGAGTTCAACTCACTCCTGAAACAGATCCTGAAGATCCCACACCAGCAGGGTGTGCAGGAGTTCAACTCACTCCTGAAGATCCCACAGGTGAAGTCCCACCCGCCTGCCCCGCCCCCACTACTTCCGATGAGAGTGAAGAGCCCAGGGTGTTGTCACCTGTGCTTCTGAACCACCGTTTTGCACCAAAGATGTCATCTCAAGAATTCTTTCTGGTCATCGGCTCTGGACCTCACCCCACCAAACCTCGCTTGTATCTAAACTTTCATCAGAGGTTCCGGCCACTCCCTGATCTTGAGCCTGACGAATTTGCAGGAGCGGCTCAGGGAACCCAGAGAACTGACTAGATTACTGATTTATGACAAAAGCCCGTAACTCAGGAACAGCCAGATGAAGAGATGCCCAGGGCGAGGTCTGGGAAAGAGGGGGCGCTTCCGTGCCCTCCAGGGTCCTCCGCGTTCACCAGCCTGGAAGCGCTCCAAACCCTCTCCTTTTGGGTTTTTATGCTGGTGTCATTGCACAGACATGACAGATGAAGACAGATGGAGACTGCTTCAACCTCCAGCCACTCTCCTTCCCCCAGGTCCGGGCGGAATGAAAATTCCCCCCAGGAGTCATGGGCCAGCCCCACCCTTGGAGGCTTTCCAAAGTCCTTATTAACATAATAAAAGACATCTTATCGCTTAGGAAATTCCAGGAGCTGGGTGCCAGAAATGGAGACAAATACCAAATACATATTTCTTATAAATCGTAATGTCCCAAGCACCCGGCAAGGTGAAGTTCACAGTGTCTGGCATCAAACAGAAAAATGCCCAAGTATGCAAAGAAGCAGGAAAACACAATTTGTAACTCACACAGAAGTAGAAAAACACAATTCACGCATGGCAAGGGGGGGAAAATCGATCATTTGCAGCTTGGCGAGAAATGACACAGATGGCAGTATTAGTAGACCCGCTATGAAGTAACAGTTACTGTGACTGCATTCCACTTGGGACGCCGGAGGGAACATCAGACGTGAGAAGCAGGGACACAGGAGCTATAATCAAGACCTAATTTAAATTTCTAGAGATAAAAACTACCGGATGTGAGACAAGAAATACACTGCATGGTATTAATAGAATATATATCTGCAGGGGAAAAAAAAAAACAAACTAGTGAACTTGCAAACATAGCAGAAACTATCCAGGAAACATAGAACAAAATCCTGAAAACATAAAGGGAGAATGTCAGTAAACTGTGGGACCACGTGAAGGAAACGCGGTATCCATGCAGTCAGGGGCCTCCCGAGAGGAGGGACAGAAGGCACAAAGCACCGGAAAAAATAATCACCAAATCCTTCCCAAACTTGAGGGCAACAGTGAGCTCACAGATCCCAGAGGCTCAAAGATCCCCAAGCCTAAGAATGATGAAGTAGCTTACACCAGTGAGCCGCTGAAAACCAGTGATAATGAGAGAGTCATGAAAGCACAGAGGATAAAAGCAAAACGAAATATTCTGTACGAAGGAATGAAAAGAATGACAGCTAATTTCATCTCAGAAATTAGCTGCAGAGTGCGGGAAAGGAAAACCTGGTCAATTCAGCATCCTGTACCAAGCAAGAGTGTCCTTCAGGGTGAAGATCGGGATGTTTTCAGATATACACAAGCTGGAGGAATTCCTCCCAGGAAGAGCCACACACACTAGAGTATTATCCAGCCTTAGAGAAGGACATCCCACCATGTGCGATGGACATGGACAAACCTGAAGGACACGGCGCCAAGTGAAATAAGCCAGACGGAGAAAGACAAACTCTGCAGGGTCTCACTCGTACGCAGAATCTCAGATAGTCCAAACTCAGCAGCAGAGAGTAGAACAGTGGGGGTAGATCGGAAGAGAGGGAGAGAGGAGGAGAGGAGAGGAGAGGGAGGAGGAAGGCGAAAGGAAGAAGGGAAGGGAATAAAAAGACAGTGGTACCCATGTAAGCTGATGGATATCAGCTGGCGGTCATTATTTTACCATACTCACATATAGTAAAACCTCATACTTAAATAAAAAACTTAACCTACATATTTTTATATGTAGTTAAAAAAAAACTTCACGTACATACCTTAAATATATGTAGCTTTTATGTGTCAATTAGACCTTAATGAAGCTGAAAAAAGAAAGAAATCATCACAGTCCACTTGCACTAAAATTACACGAACAGTTGACCTTCAATCAGATCAGTGCTGTCGACGGAAATTGGGACCCACACAAAGGAGAGGTGCGCATCAGACGTGGCGTCTACCTGGGCAATGATCACATCTGTACTTTTCATTTTAAATACTTAGGAAGATAACTGGTTTAAGGCAAAAATGACACTGGTGTCACGGGTGGTTTAGAACACGTGTGTAAGTTACATACATGCCAGCAAGATCGCGAGGGGTGACAGAAAGGAGCACATGGGCCCCAGAACTTCTCCTACTGTGGTCAGTGGCAGAGAGCGTCCCTCAAAGGTGCACACTACAAATCCCCCAGCAACCGCCACGTGGACACAGAGCTCTTGCCGAGATAAAGAAAAAATAAAAATAATCCAAAAGAAGGCAGAAAATGGGGACAAGAGACAAAGAGAAAACATGGGGCCACACGATAGGAGGAAGGACCATCTTAGCAATCATCACATTAAACAGAATCCACATGGCGGGGGGGGGGGGGGGGCGGGTGTCAGCAAACTTTTTCTGGAAAAGGATCAGAAAGTAACGTGTTAAGGCTTTGTGGGCCATGGAGGATTTTTGTCACATTCTTTTCGGATTTTTTCACACCCCTTTAAAAATGTAAAACCATTTTTACAGGCCATACCCCCCAAAAAAAAAAAAAAAAAAAAAAAG